GGGCGGCTTTTTGGCGACGGGCGGGCCGCGCGGTTCGCGCGGAGTCCCTGTTGAACCCGCCCCCCCCTCGAATTGCCCGGCCAATTTCCAATGTGGCATTTCCTTCCCGTAATGACCAAGTCACCGAGAACGGTGCCCAAAAAAAAAAAAAGCCTGCCTTTTTCGTCTTTGGCTTTTGGACTCTGCACGAGACTCGATTTTTTTTTTTTTTTTTAAGTTGGGTTGTTTTTGTGCTTTCCACCGTCTCACTTACGAACGCATTGTTTTCTTGTTTGTTGTTGTCTGAATTCTTTTCTGCCGGCTGTTTTCAAGTACGGGAGAAATGCACTCGAGTCGAGTGGTGAATATTGCGCGGCTTTCCAGAGATGGGCGGAATTGCGCCCGCCAAAACGGCGGGCGGCCAGTCGCGGAGAACTTGCTCTGTGCTTTCAAACGTCCTTTTTGCATGCCGCCCCCCCCTTTTGTCCAGTATGGGAGGCGTCGCCATGGTGAGCCTGTCCAGCACGGAGCGGCCCGACGAGCAAGGCACCATCGGTAAAAGCCGCGGCCGGCAAAGGTGCCGTGAAAAGAGCGGGAATGAAAGGCGTCCGTCCGCGTGTGTCAATGTGCCGCTGCCGCCGCAGGCTCCTTGTGGTCCCTGGCCGGCGCCGTCCTCTACGCCGTCTACGTGGTGATGATCAAGAGACGGGTGGATCGGGAGGACAAGCTGGACATTCCCATGTTCTTTGGTAAAGCCCCAAATTGTCTGCACCCCCCCCCCCACGGGAAAACCCCTTTCATGGGTCGTCGCTTTGTTTGTGCGCGTCAGGTTTTGTGGGTCTGTTCAACCTGCTGCTGCTGTGGCCGGGCTTCCTGCTGCTTCACTACACGGGCTTCGAGGCCTTCGAGCTGCCCAGCCAGCTGGTTTGGGCCTACATCCTCGTCAACGGCCTCATCGGCACCGTTCTCTCCGAGTTCCTGTGGCTCTGGTGGGGTCGTCTGCTTTTTTCGAGCACCTCTGGCCGTGGACTTTGGCCGCATCCAAAATTGGAGCCGTTGACAATTCCGAGCCTCATTTGCTTCCCTTGTCGAGTCCTGTCGTGTTGCAGTTGGAAACGAGCCGTGGCAACTTTTCGGAAGCGACCGTCTGACGATCACTCCTGGTCTTTTGGCCTCGTTCCTTTTTGATTCTATTTTTAAGTGGCCTTCACGATAGCCTCACCTCAAAATCTTTTCGGGTATTTTCTTTCTATTTTAGTTTGGTGTGATTATTTTTACCAGCATGACTTGTCGGCTCTCTATTTCATGTATTTAGTTCTCAGGGGATTGATGTAGGTACAAAGCTGTGCATTTTGGGAATGTTTGGCCGATTTCTGCTCACCTCATTTTAAGATGTGCAACCTTTTGGGGATTTTTACAACAATGTCCCCATGACACACGAGATGTTGTCTTCCTTGTTTATGCGCAGGTGCGTTTCTCGTGGATGTTTTTTGCAGGGGCGGTGCCCGTCTTCCTCTCGTTCTTCATCACGACGCTGCTGTGCCACTACAACAACTGGGATCCGGTCATGGTGGGGCTGAGGAGACTCTATGCCTTTGTTTTTAGAAGACATCGTGCTCACAGGTACGCATGGGGAGGGGGAAGGCTCTCGTTGGAATTAGCAATACGAATTTGCTCACTCTGTACTGAGCGCATCTTTCAAGCTCGTGTTGCATTCACTTTTCGGCGATAATCTTCGTGGGTCAATGCCTTGGGTTGCATTGAAATGAAAAATAGAAGAAATTTTTTTTCTTCTATTTTTTGTTTTTAGAAGACATCGTGCTCACAGGTACGCACGGGGGGCTCTCTCGTTGGAATTAGCAAGACAAATTTGCTCACTCTGTACTGAGCGCATCATTCAAGCTCGTGTTGCATTCACTTTACGGCGATAATCTTCCTGGGTCACTGCCTTGGGTTGCATTGAAATGAAAAATAGAAGGACAAAAAAACAGATAAAGATTTTTTTTTTCTCATTATAAACTCATTACCCACTATTTGAAGATTATTTTGTGGGGCGTCTCCTCTCACAGGTCCTGGTTGAACGAGGAGAATGTGCAGGGGTAAGATAAGATAAGATAAGATAAGATATTGTTTATTTGTCCCACACTGGGGAAATTTACAGCCTTCAGCAGCAAGATTGTGGGTAGAAAGAAGAGAAAAGAAAACAGTTCAATTAAGTGCAATATAAATACAAATATGACCCCCGTCATTAAAAATGTTCAAACCGTTTTGCACATAAATGTGAAATTGAGTCCCTTGAAGGCTGCTCAATGAATGGAAGCCGTAATAATAATAATCACAATGATGATGATGACGTTGGAGTGCTTGCGGTCGCTATCTTGCGCTGACCACTGACAGCCCTTCTCCTCCCCCAGGCTCCCCGACGACCAGGAGCTGTGTGAAAGCCTTTTACCGTTACACGCCGTCTCCCTGAACCAAGGAAGCCTGTGCTCATGATCTGCGCTTCAAGTAAGTCTGACTCGTATGTGCGCCCCCCCCACCCCCACCCCAAAAAAATGAGTAGGAGTCTTCTAAATAAACGCAGGGCTGTGTGTCCGGTGTGCACGCTGATGATGATCATCCGTCATCCCGCTGACTCAGCGGCGCACGTCCAAACACGGAATGCTCCGACCAGACACATGAGCCTTTGTTCAGAGGAAAAAAAAGCGCTGATAACGCCTTTGCTGACGTTCTCGGAGGCAAGAGTGGTCAGCGCTGAAACATTTCAACCCGGAGGAGGTCGGACGGGAAAGCGCCGCAGACCGCTTGTCGATGACGCGTCCTCGCTTTGTCTGCTTTTTCATCACGTCCGCTCGCGATGCCGCCAAAGTCACGAGTCGGCGTGACTTTTAACATGTGGTCACCGACTCGCATTCGTGAAATGTGTATTTTCGTCGCGACCGCTCCAAATCGGGGGGGGGGGGTTGTTTGTGAGGGCCGCGTGCAGAGAAATGGTAGGATGAAAGTTTCGTCAAAGCTTTGACCGCTAGGCTGCGTCCACGCGAGATGATGGACGCCCGAAAAGCTTCCCGAATTCCGTGTCGCCCGCCTGCTTCCGCTTCGGAGAGCTCATCAAAGAATTTTCCCCAAATTGGTGGACTCGCTGTTCAAGATCTGCCTTGGGCCCCGGAGCCGTCTTCGGGTGTCCTATTATAACGGGCCCTATTGGGTTCAGGCCCTTTTGGGTTCCCCCCCCCCCCCCCCCCCCCCACCGAATGCGGGCTGCTTCCATTTCCATCCGCATGCAACGTTTGAGGCTCGGCGTGACCAACAAGAACACCGGCGAGCTTTCTTTGAATCAACAACATGCAAAGGCGTTCTTGAGCTCTGGCTTCTCTGTTGTAGGTGTCCAACATCTGCTCCCAAGAGGTCTGAGGGACAAAGACTCACCCACCCCCGTGCCTCCTATTTGAATGCGCCGCTTGCTTCGGCGTGACGGAGTTCTTTCTTTTTTTTTTTTTGAAATTGTGTCTCTAAAAACTGGAGCGCAACTGAAGGTGCTGGACATGGCCGATCGTCATCATTACGATGACGACGACGGCGATGATGATGATGCTGCGAGGTGACCAAATGAAGAGGTACGTTTCCAGTTGGGCGGGCCGCCAACAGAGGAAGTGACCAGGAGTCAAGTGTGCATTCTTTCACATTTGCCACCGACTCTTTTTTTTTAATTGCTTTTTGCCTTTCGTTCTCATGCCTTGATGAGATAGAAACCCTGTTTGCAAAATATCAGCTTGGAAAGGATATCAACAACACGATGTTCGACCTCTGTTTACATCGCGGGTCAAATTGACCCATTTTTTTGGTTTAAAAAAAAAAAGTTTGACGGTAGCAAACTTCTGCTCAGCTTAACCTGTTTACTCAGCGCCTGCCACAAATATTTTGGGGGGGGGGTTTCATTGATTGCACTTTTAGACTAAAGACAGTGCTCGTCAAATTGACCAATTTTCAAGTTCAAAAAAAAGTTTTTTCAGTGTGAAACTCCTGCGCGGCCGAATAAGTGTAAGCCCCATTTCCAAAATCTGCCAATATCTGAAGATATCAGTTGTCTTTCTCAGGATTTTTTTTTTTTTTTTTTGCATGTTAACCCATCCCCAGAGTAAAAGAATGTGCAAAAAAAAACCCCACATGCCAATATTTGGTAGATCACTTGAGGACAAACAATTTCAATCACACACACGATTGTTTCTAAGAAGTTTCACATTGAAAAAAGTACTTTGAACTTGTATTTTGTGAACTTTGAAGTGGGTCAACTCGGCCCGACGCTGAACTGTCGCTCCCGCTTCCACGATAAGCTACGCGGCTGCTTTTGAGAAACGTCCGTTGAAGGTAAAGGATTTTTGCTGACGACACTTTCCTGTTGTTCGATTTTCTGTGTCGCTGTCATTGAGCACTTCCAGGACCAGCCAAATCGTTTTGTTTTTTTTTTTTTCTGATGTGAATATTGAGCCGGTGACTTCCCAGTAAGGAGAAGAAGAAAACGTGTCACACGTTGCTGTTGTTGTGCTCGCTAAATGAACCAGCCAGCATTGGTTCAGCACTTGAAAGACAAACCGCGTTCGCTCTTGTGACTTGGTGTACTCCAGTCCTGTTTTTTTTTTTTGGGTCGGGGGGGGCTTCCAATGTTTGTTTGTTTTTTGCTTTGGGTACACCGCCAATCAAAGAAAACACTATCTTGAAGAATGTTCATTGTTTGTTCAGCCATTATGTTTCACGTCTCAGGTAGTTTGGCTTGATTGTTGGTCCAAAAAAAAAAAGTAATTTGTGTGGTTTTTAAATGTTGAGTGGACAGATTCTCCTGTCCTGGGTTCAATACACTATTAAAGACATCTTTTTAAATTGTTGTCAATGGGCATTTGCTCTTGGTCAGACTTTTTCAGCGGGCGGAAGCTCAGAAAGCTCAGGTGGGGCCAGGCCATTTTGCGATTTAAAAACAAAGAAGAGGGTCTTGAAAAAGAACCTCTCAAATGAGCCGGTGAAGCGGATGCCAGAGTAGGAGTGACGCGCTCCTTCTTTATACGAGTAGCAGTCAAGAGGCGAGCGGCGGCATTCTGGACCAACTGGAGACGCTTGATGGAGGATCATCCGACTCCAAATATGACGATAGTGTGACGAAGGCATGAATGACTGTTTCAAAGTGAGGCTAGACTTGAGCCGGCTGCCTAAGATGAAAAAAGCTGCAATGTTAACAACGGCACCGATTTGCCAGTCCAATTTGAAATCACTGTCCAGTGCAGCAGCCGAGTTGGAGACTGTTGCCTTACGAGAAGGAGCCAGGATGGGATGGACAAAGGCCACCGCCACCAAACGCCATCACTTCTGTCTTCTTTTCAGTGGAATTCAAGAAATTTGGTACAGCGTGGCTGCGTCTGGAAAGTGTTGACGGCGCTTCACTTTTAGAATCTTTTGGCATTTTTGAGGAAAATCCTGAATCCAATTGGGAATGAAACTGGAACAGAATAATGTCGAAAAGAATTCTCCCCGTTGCACTGACTGCGTGTGCGCGAAAGACAAGCCCATTAGCGCTAATGATAAGAAAGGAGAGCAAACCTCTGTCATGGTGTTTAATGTTTAACTCGGCTGCCTTTGTGGGAGGGCGAAGGACTTTTGTCTAAGCACAGCCCCCCTCCGCCCCCCCACGTTGAAACACTTCTTTTGCACAGCAGTCGACTTTGGCGGCGGATGTGTTGAAGACTTTCTTGGGGGCTCTCTCTGGAGACGAGACGAATGATAGATAGGATCTCACCAAGGAAGAACGTTTGGAACCTTCAGGTCCCGCTTGTAATCACAGCGACTGCGCCCGGGAACTGATAAGACGCAATCGATATGAGCAAAATCCAAATCGGCGCGGAAAAGGAGACAGCCGATGAAAAAGACCGGAAGCAGCTGGAACTCGACAACGCCGCGGAGATCTCGCTGAGGTTCTTATCCGGATAATTCCGTCAGCAGCGCGGGTCTCCTGACCGTCCTAAGACCTTTCCGCCGCGCTGCCGTATAAAACATCTGCCGCTCCAGGCGACTCGGATCCCATCCCTGCGGATAGGTACCGCTTTGGACCGATCGCAGGTCAACTGGAGGGCGTCCGTTCGCTTCTCAAATTCGGATACAATTTTGAGGCTTTGCTTTTGGTGATAAAAGAGGAGAAAAAAAATCACCGAACAACTTACAGTCTTGAAGGTTACCGAAGTTGACCTTTGGCGGAAGAAGCCGGGCACATCCTTGGAGAGGTCGCCAGTTAATTGCAGAGGTCCGGATACCGTGGACCGACAGCCTTCGTTCGCACCCGCTGACAAGTCTGCAGTCCATCAAACTTTTGGCGAGAGGAGCGCGGCATAATCGGTGGCCGCTCAGGAAGGGGACATTGGAACGACGTCTTGAGGATTTCTTTCGCACTCCCTTCGAGCAAGATTTCGTCTTTGAAGCCAGCGAGAAGCCTCCGGTCCCGGTTTTCCACCCCGAAGCTGATGAGAGACGACCCGCGGCCACATGGACGCGGAGATCCCCGACGAGAAGGATTGGAGGCAGCTTGAGCCCAACCCCGGCATCAAAGTCTTCCTGACAATCTTGTACAGCCTCATCCTGGTGACGGGCATCGTGGGCAATTCCGCCACCATCCGCGCCACGCGGGTGCTCCGGCGTAACGGCTACCTCCAGCGGAACGTGACGGACCACATGGTGAGCCTGGCGTGTTCGGACCTTCTGGTTCTGCTGGTGGGGATGCCCGTGGAGCTCTACAGCACCATCTGGTTCCCGTTCACCTCGGCGTCCGGGGGCGACGCCGCCTGCAAGGTCTACAACTTTGTCTTTGAGGCGTGCAGCTACGCCACCATCCTCAACGTGGCCACGCTGAGCTTCGAGCGCTACGTGGCCATCTGCCACCCGTTCCGATTCCGAACCCTCGGCGGGCGGCGCACGTCGGCGTTGGTCACCTTGGCCTGGCTGGTGTCTGTTCTGGTGGCGCTGCCGCTGCTGGTGGCCACGGGGACCCAGGGCCACATCCCGGTCTCGGCGGACGGGCCCGTCCAGAACCTGACCTTCTGCACCAACCTGAGGGAGCGCTGGCTGATGTATCGAGTCAGCATCTTTTTCGCCTTCGCGGTCTACATGCTGGTTTTGGCCAGCGTGGCCTTCATGTGTCGAGCCATGATCCTGGTCCTGAGGAAATCCGGGGGATCTTCGGACCGAGGAAGTGGCCCAGATCCAAAGACGTCCAAGCATGAAAGTCCAAAGATAAAGATGGCCAGGAAGCAGACCATCATTTTCCTGGGTAGGTTTTGGCACACTCTTCAGGCTTGAAGTCTGATCCACTCAGTTCTTGCTCTGTCGGTGTCCATTTTCGCGCGTTTTTAGGAGCCGTTAGCTATCTGACATCTGGAGAGGAGATGGACTTGGCCAGTCGAAAAAAAACCCAAAAAACAAAAACCTTCCAGGTCCGATTGAGGGCTCATCGTCTCTGGTTTAGAAAGACTGCCTTATGACACATCCCGTTGACGTGACAAACATCATCTTCGCAGCATCTTCTTACGTCCACGGATATGAAGGACAGGTCAACGGCGGTCGGATTTGGTGGACCACGCGCGCGGAAAAACGCAACAGTTTTGGTGATATTGTTTGTTGCGAAGCCTCCTTTGTTTTTTTGAAAGATCCTACTCGGCTGTTTCCTGGACACCGTGACGACAGATTGCCCTGAGCCGGAATTGGACTCATTACTATTCGCAACGGACCTGACGTCACTGTGTTAAGTGCAAAGAGCCCATTGGCGACCGTTTTGACAGGAACTGAGAGAGGCTCCAGCAACGTCCCCGCGAACCCTCTTCAAGGAAAAGCGTTGTTGAAAATGGATGGATGCGTGGATGCTTTGAATTGGAAACGAATTGTCAGATGAAAAGATTGCGGAAGAAACTCACAGGACTCGACCAGCCTCACATGATTGTCGGGGCTCCTTATTTCTGTATTGATTTATTCATGTATTCATTTGAGGCCGGGGCGGTGACTTTGGAGTGTCATGAAACAAACAAACAAACAAAAAAAGTACCTGGCCAAGGTCACGAGAGCCATCAGGCTGAGGAAAACGAGCATGACGCTCCGAGCAATGAGCGTTCGCACGTGAACGTTTCGTCTTCCCGGTGCCCGGTCACTTTGACTGGAAGTTAAACCCATTTGCGTTTGTGTGCCCTCAGGCCTGATCGTGGGCTCCTTGCTGCTGTGCTGGTTCCCCAACCAGGTGCGTCGCCTCATGATGGCCGGCACGCCCAAGTCCCGCTGGAGCGCGGCCTACTTGCGCGGCTACGTGGCCCTGCACCCGGTGGCCGACACCTTCTTCTACCTCAGCTCGGCCATCAACCCTTTCCTGTACAACGTGTCTTCCCGCCACTTCCGCCGGGTTTTCGTCCAAGTGCTGCGCTGCCGCCTGAGCGTCCAGCACATCAACAAGCGAACCGTGCCGAGCTCCGGCGCCCGATCCGTCCGGTCGCTGCAGCCCCTGCTGCTCAAATCGCTGCGGCCGAGCAAGAGGATCCGACCCGGCGCGGCCAAAGAGGAGACGTCCCGGGAGCAAAGCGACTCGGGGGCGCGCGCGCGGCCCGAAAACAAGGACTCGGATTCCACAACGCAGACGGGCGTTCTCTCGGCAACGGAAGCGTGACGCGGCGGGAAATAACCCAGATTTGCTTCGGCGGTCCAAAGATGAGCATTGATTCACAATAAATTGTCTTTGTTCATGTAACGCTGCCTATTGTAACAGACGCACCCATTGGATGCTCTGCCACTAGAGGGCAGAAGGTCCGATGATGCAAAAGCAAAGTACCTGTACAACGAAGCAGGCCCACTTTTCACACTCGGCTTTCCTCCCGCACCAGCAAAAAGTCCGTTAAGGGGCGTCAACTCTTTTTAATCTTTTGCTGGTCAAATGGTGTAAAGTCTCAAAATTGACTTCGCCGGTGTTCAAACGTCCATTTGTTGCCTAAGGCGATCGATCCCCCCCCCCCCCAGTTTTTCTTC